TTTCCTTTTTTTTACATGCTGAAAGCAGCTTTGTTATTTATGACTTTTGTCATAAATTCTGAGCCTTAGCTTTCTTGAATTCATCTTTGCAGGTTCAGGTATTTCTGATATTCTGCCTTAAATATGTGCCCCCCATTCCATTTTTTATCCTTTTTGTCTTTCAGTTTATCAGAGTTCTTTGTGCAGCCATGCTGGTTTTTCTTTTGAGATCTTATTTTCTTCTTGATTGGAATTGTGGAATTGTGCTAGACTGGGTTTTTATAATCTCACTTTTCAAAGTTCCCAAGCTCCCTGGGTTGTTTTCCAATTTAGGATTCTATCCCTGGAATCCTTCTCAAGTTCTTTCCAAGTTTCCAATCAGTTTTCTTGAAATGCAAGATTCTAGTTTGACTTGGTTCCGTTGCTTGAGCGTACATAATGTTGAATTTCAATACTGCATGGTCCCCTCCCAAGGTTTTTATTACTTCAACCCCTTCTATCATTTAATCTGTTAGTGAGAATTAAGTCCAGCATGGCGAACCCTCTAGTTCCTTTTTCTATTTTTGGGGAGAAAACGTTGCCTGCTAGATTTGTAAAGAATCTGTTTGATTTTCCTCTAGGTACAGAGTTTATTTCCCAGTTGATGTCAGGTTAAAGTCCCCCATTAATATTGTGGTGTGCTTCCTGCATATCTAAATTAATTGACCAGCAAACAGTTCACATATTTCCTCTGATTGGGCTCACCCCCATTCATTGTATTCAATATGTTTTTCATCATTGTTCTGTATTTCTGTAGAGATCTAGTTATTTATTATATATAGCACAACACCTTTTTATTAAGTCTGTTTCTTTTAAACAATTTAAATCTGCAAAAACATCTTCAAAAATATGGCTTTCTATAGTGTAAGTTGGAAAAGAAGAAAAGGATATTATAAAGGGGGAGTGATATGCAAAATCATGTCTACACGTTGTTGTTCTGAGGACAGAGACTTTATTTTTAACTGCAACCCACCTCGCAGTGCTTTAATTTGAAAATGAAAAAGAACACATGCAATATAGGAATGGAGAGAGTCCCAGGTCACCAAGGAAAACTATACACAAATAGCTTAGAACTGTGTCAGGAAAGACAAAGTTCAGAATGAGGTGAAGCTAGGAAACATTAAAAACAGCAAAAATGGTTTCTTCAGATGTGTTCAAAATAAAAATGAAGAGGTAGCATAGTGGCCATTCAATTATGACAAAATGCTAATATCAACTGAGGAAAAACAGAACTTTTACTATTAGTATTTTAATAATTTGAATAAAGAAATTTATAATTTATAAAATTTGTAGGTAACAGCATGGAGAATAATTTTCTAACAGAAATAAAATTCAAAATTGCCAACTGCATTTTAATCTAACTTATGGTATAAACTCAGCCTAACTGCATCCGGTTCTACTTCAATGTGTTATAAGAACCCATAACATTGGGTAAATTATGGTTCAGTTGCCCATAGGTAAAGATGTCATACAATTTCCCCCTCCAGGATTGCCAAAGCTCTTTTAATTCTACCAATAGTACTTTGTATGAAATATGTGCCATTGACTGCCTGAACTGCCATTTGTTGTGTCCTTGTGTGAGGACATCTCTAAAAGAGGGAGAGGAGGACCACCACATGATCAAAATGAGCTTTCTGTGCCACTTGAACCAGGCCACAGGACAAACCCAGAGTTAGACTCAACATTTTCTATAACTGATTAAGTCCAACTATCATGATCATTCTGCCACTGGATCAAATATCAGAAGCCAGAAATGCAATGAACTGTTTGCAAGTTGATACTTTGAGAATAAAGGTCTACTCAGCAGCAATTCTGAGTCTCTATGTAAGCCTGCCTGGTTAGGATTACCAAGCACCAGCTGAGTTAAGGTTGTTAACATAATACATCTGGATGGCCTTCAGCCAGATCAGGCTTAACAAGCACCAGATGAATCAGGGCAGAGTAATTGCTGCCTCCAGTTTAAAGCTTTCTGCTGGAGGATAACTCATGATTGTAGAGTTATGTGGTCACTTGTCCCTACATCCTGATAGAGCTCCTTACTGTACAAATGCTTTACAATCTGGAGCCTGACCTATGATTGTAGAGTTATGTGGTCACTTGTCCCTACATCCTGATAGAGCTCCTTACTGTACAAATGCTTTACAATCTGGAGCCTGACCTTTGATCTCCTGCCTTTGGCAATGCAACTCATTTCAAAATAGGCTTTATCATATGATAACCATGGTTCTGCGATTTCCTGATGCAGAGCAGAGAATCACTTTAAATTATATACAATTGGGGAGGGGGGGACACAGACAATAGCCTAACAGACCTTAAATTAGCAATATTAACTATAGTAATAGAAGTTTTTATATATACAAGTTAAAAATGCTCAAATGATTGATTGTGTATAACACAGGGCTGAAACTCATCAGATGTTGCTCAATCACACGAAGTCCTAATAGCATACAAATGACTTATCACATGGATGTTGTCATGCAAGTTAACATTTCAGGGTGTGCCTGGGGAAAGTTGATTGCATCTTGATTTCTTCAGATGAAAGACTCCTCTACTATGTATACAAAGTATTCTAAAATTTCAGTATTGGTTTTGAAGCTCACCTATTTATTCTGAGCACAGGGATATGTGTATTTATCCATCTGATAAAACACAATTTGAATGAAGAAACACCATCCTCTTCATTGTATCAACTTTTTAACTACAATTATGCTTAACAGCAGTATTCCTCAGATATGCTAACTCACAAAAAAGTGAGATGGGGTGGTTGTATAAATCAAATGATTAAACAAACGTATAACTGAAACTACACAATTCAATGTAGTTAAATACAAACCTTCCTCTATAACAAAGCTAAATTAGTATTTAAGCAAACATATAAAGGAGTTAGCCAAAACAAGTACTATTTATAAGTACATGTTTAAAGGATAAGCATAAGTATTTGACATTTATTTGTTCTAAAAAGCATGCAGCTTAAAACAGAGCTAAAGTTTGTTATTAAAATACCTGCAACAATATGCCAAGTAAAAATATTTTAGGTGTACTCATTATAAATGAAGGCTGTTTAAATTTTACAAGCAGCTCTTTCCACTGTAGGATCAGAGGTTAATGTTTCATTTCTAAAGGGCATAAATAATAACAAAATCTCAATATAAAATTAAGAGATTGTCTCTGAAAGACTCTTCCAATGCTAAGGGTGTTTGCTTTCTTGCATGCAAGCTAACAAAAGACAAGAAAATGACCGGCATGTCTAAGGGATGAAATTACACTATTAACAGTGTTTGAATTCAAGGAAAAATAAAGGGAGGCATTATAGAACCATTTAATATTGTGCAAAAGATGGTAAATATAAATAGGGGGAAAATAAGATCCAGAAGGACCAAATTACACAAAGGGGAGTTTATAACAGAAACACCATGTTACACAAGCCCTAATTGAACTATGGAATTCAAAGCCACAAGATGCAGCAAGGCCTCCAATCTGGACAGCTTTGTAGGCACATTATCAAGTCCATGGAGGATAATAAGGCTAACAATGGCTAATAGTTATCTTCAATATCTGAGACAGTAAGATTCAAAGTGTATTAATAATTGCTTGGGTATACAAGAAGCTTGGTAATGAGTATATAGGTATATGCTGCTTGTAGGCTAACCAAAGACACATGCTTGGCGCTGTTGGAACAGAAAGCTGGATTAGGTCACACCTTTATTTCATCCAGCACAAATGAAAGAAAATAAAAGTTGCAGTACGTTATATATTAGAGAATTACAGAAATCTGAAATGTAAATAAATCCAGCTCTGCATGCTCAGGTCTACTACCACATGACTTTATAGATGTCTCTTAATACTTTAGACAGATACATGACTAAAATCCAGCAAAACACAAAATTGTCTAGGATCTTTTAGCCAAACCTTTCTCACTCTCAAATGCACAATTACTGGCACACCACCCATCCACCACCCATTTAACTTTACTTGCTGTGGTGGAACTTGTGAGTAAAATGCACATGACTGCACCAAGTATCCATAAGTAACACAACAAAACAGTGTACAAATCCAGTTTAGGGAGAACAGTGTACAAATCCAGTTTAGGGAGACTGTACAAATTCATTTTAGCGATTTCCAGCCGGTATTTTTGATCTGAAACGATTCTTACTAAAACGAATGCCCTCTTCCTTACGGAAACCTACTCAGAATCAAGCTAATCGATGCCGCAGGAGCAACAGAAAAACCGTGACAAAGACCAGCGTTATTTAATATATTTTTTGTAATTTTTTAAAATAATCCCTTTAATACTTTCAGAAGGAAACTAAGGAGTAAATCTCCTTGGAAGTAGGCTCGCCAACACATGATTATGTGCACAATTGTTGCACAATCCGCTTTGGCTGTTGTTCTCCCCCCCCCTTCCTTCTTAAAAAAAAAAAAGGCGACATCGGCAGCTTCTCTCCCCCGTTCCGCAAAGAGGGACCAATCTTTCTTTTGGGTCACCTTAAGCGAGGTCTGGAAGCTCCCCTTAGAAAGAAGGGGGAGGTAGGTGGGTCCCAAGCTTTGGGCAGACTGCCACCAAGTCGCCCCTCCGCCCACCATCTCCAGGGACCCGGGTAGGTTGGATCCGGGAAGCTTCACTCCCACCCGTCCCAAGCAGCACCCAGGCCCGAGGAGGCGAAGACGCCGACCAGTCCCCGGGTCTCCCTCCCGTCCCCCCCCGCGCCAGCGCTCCGGAGCCAAAAAGGGAGGCTTGCTGGAGAGGACACAAGACACCGCTCGGCTGCTCTCTCTTCAAGCGAAGGGCGTTTTGCCCCAGCGAGCCCGCCGCGGCCCCCGGAAAATGGCTGCCGCTGGAGCCGAGCCTTTCCAGGCAGAGCAGCTGCGGCAGAGCGCGCCTCCGGACCGCTCCAACCCGGCGGCAGGAACCGTGTGTGTGTGTGGGGGGGGGGGGGAGACGGGAGACGCTTCCGAGGCGGAGGGGCCGCCTCCCCGCTTACCTTTGAATTTGAGCTCGTGCTGCGGCTCCAAGATCAAGACCTGCTCAGTTTTCGCCATGTTGGCTCCCGCTCCTCCTCCTCTCCACCTCCTCGGCGGCGGCGGTTAAAGCACCAAGCGGGGCCGGAGGGAAAGCGGAGCAAACGCCAGTGACGGCCCTCAAGGAAAGGGGGGGGGGGAAGAGAGGAGGAGGAGGAGGAGGAGGAAAGGGAAGGAGCCGAGGCGGAGGGCGGCCGGCGGTCCTTCCCCGACACGGCAAAGCGGGGCGAAAAAAGAGGCGCGGCGGAAAGAGGGGAGTGTGTTGCGTGGGGGGGGGGGAACTAAAGCAGGACCCGCTGTGGCGGCTTGGGGCACGGCCAGAGAAATGAGCCGGCGCGCGCCCAGCACGCAAAGCTGACGCTTCCCACCCTCGCCAGGAGGAGGAGGAGGAGGAGGCGGGGAAGGACGCTGCAGCACGGGCGGGCCTGGGCTGACGGTGTGGGGAGGAGGAGGAGGAGGAGGGCGAAAGGGGGGACTGCAAGCTGACGTTTCCTGCCGGCCCGGGCGGGGCCTGAAGGCCGCCTTCTCTTTCGTCAGGGGAGGGGAGGTTTTGCGCGTAACGTGGGAAGAGGTTTTGAAGGCAAAAAAAAAAAAAAGGGAGGGGGGAGGCGCGCAGGCGCTGCGCCGGTTTGAAGCGCGCCGGGCTATCGTGGCGCGCAAGTGGCGCCGCGTCCTGAGGGAGAGAAAAAAGAAAGGTGGTGTGTGTGTGTGTGTGTGTGTAGGAATTAAGAGGGTGCTTGTAAAACGCCGCAGTCCCGGCGAGGGAGCATTAGAAACAAGTCAAAGGGACGGCAGCGGGGCTTTCTCTCCCGAAAGTTGATGATGCCTCGCCTGGTAGAAAGTCAGATTTTGCATAATGTGACCCTGGACGTGCAAAGGTGGACGCTAAAGGAAAACCCTCAAACGAAAATGGGAGGGGGGGGGAGGATTGCAGGTAGTCCTCGACTTACAGCCACAATTGAGCCCAAAATTTTCTGTTAAGTGAGATATTTAAATGAGTTTTGCCCCGTTTTACGACCTTTCTTGCCACAGTTGTTAAGTGAATCACTGCAGTTCATAAGTTAGTAACCTGGTGGTTAAGTGAAGCCGGCTTCCCCATTGACCTTGCTGGTCAGAAGGTTACCAAAGGGGATCACATGACCCTGGGACACTACAACCGTCATAAGTATCAACCAGTTGCCAAGCATCTGAATTTTGATCACATGATCACGGGGATGTTGCCAAGGTCATAACTCTGAAAAACAGACATAGGTCACATTTTTCACTGCCGTTGTAATTTTGAACAGTCATTAAACAAACTATTGTAAGTTGAGGACTTCCTGTATTCTTATGGAGAGGATGAAGCCCATTAAGTAGTTGAGTTATAATTCCAGTTTTCAAACATCAAAATGTTTTTGTTGATGGCATCCCACAAAAGTCTCTGAATTTACTATTGGGTCCAGGAGTTAAGAGTATATGCCCCTTGTTCCTTGTCAGATATTGTTTACATCAGAAAGAAAGGATAAGGGGGATTTTCCAACCTTAAGGTTCAATTCATTGTAAAATTTGAGTTGCTTCATTTACCAGTTGATCACCATTGGTTGTCCTTATTTGAAGCTATGGAAGTGTGCACTTGATTATGTAAATGGAATCCCTTCAAGAAATTGAAAATTAAAAATTAATGGAAGAATGTAACGGGAAATAACTTTGTTTTTATAAGAAAATTCTGCAGATGTATTAAGGTAAGGTAAAGGTTCCCCTCGCACATATGTGCTAGTCATCATTTCCAACTCTAGGGGGCGGTGCTCATCTCTGTCTCAAAGCCGAAGAGTCAGTGCTGTCTGAAGATGTCTCCGTGGTCATGTGGCCAGTATGACTATACATCAAAGGCGCGTGGAACTCTGTTACTTTCCCACCAAAGGTGGTTCCTATTTTTCTACTTGCATTTTTTACATGCTTTCGAACTGCTAGGTGGACAAGCTGGGACAAGTAATGGGAGCTCACTCCGTTACACGGTGCTAGGGATTCGAACTGCCAACCTTTCTGATTGACAAGCTCAGCATCTTAGCCACTGAAATCCAGCAGTTAAATTCACTTTGGGACTTTTACTTTATATTTAACATGTATTTAAATAAAGACTAATATTAATGTTATAATATTACCATTGTATCATATATTATTATCATAACACAGATAATACCACAGTATGGAACGTGCCTTCCCATTGCAAGTCTGTTTAAATCACCTTATTCCACTGTGCCATTGATTCTAATTGATCATTGGCATTTATGTTTGAGGTGCATGAAAAAATTGCATTTCTATTCGTCTGATTTTTTCTGTTTTATTCTTGTTCACTGTCCAGAACTTCGATGATTCTTTATTCTTTTGTTCACTGTCCAGAACTTCGATGATTCTTTATTCTTTTGTTCACTGTCCAGAACTTTGATGATTATGGCAATCTACAAATATTACCAATAGTGATTTTTGATATTTATGGCCAGGTTGGTGATAGAGTTTCCCAGGCTGATGATCCTTTA